TCATGTAACTGTGCATGTCTTCTTCAGTTTGTGTGTATTAAAATTAATATTTCATGTGTTAAATTTTTTTTTTTTCAGTACTTTTGGGTGTCTTGCACGGATTAATTTGATTTCCATTATTTCTTATGGGGAAAATTAACTTGACTAACGATAATTTTGACTAACGATGAGCTCTCAGGAACGGATTAATAGCGTTAGTCGAGGGTCCACTGTATACCAATATACAGTCGCTGAACATATTCCTAGAAGTTCTGCAGCTTGTGGAACTCTTTGAAACTTGGTGTCATACACAGTGGTGTTTTACACTCCTCACACATAAAACATGGTGTCATACACAGTGGTGTTTTACACTCCTCACACAAAACATGGTGTCATACACAATGGTGTTTTACACTCCTCACTCATAAAACATGGTGTCATACACAATGGTGTTTTACACTCCTCACACATAAAATCAGTGTGTGCATTTTTGTGGAAGTGTTTTTTTATGTGCAAAGACAAAACACCTCGTCTGGGCAGTTTTCTTCGAAGTATTAGCAGGCAGTTGTGTTATGTAGTTATCCTAGGTAAATGGTTGTGTGTCATCATTCCTTCCTTCCTAATTTCCTTCATTCCTTTCCTACCTGGAGGCTACCTGGAGGGCATTCCACCTCTCTTCCTACATTCCTTCATCTGTCCTTCCTTACTTTTTTCCTTACTTTCATCTAGTCCTTCCTTCATTCCTGCCTTCCCTTCTTGCTTCTGGTTTCTATAATATATATATATACACATATATAGTCACTAGATACTTTCATAAAACTGCTATTATCACCATTCAGCAAGCTTGTCTTGGGTGCGAGTGTGTGGCTTATAATTGTTTTGAGTCTGGAGTCGGCAGCTGTCAAAATGACATATTGTCTCATTACTTACTCCCCCTCCCGCCTGTCAAAACAATGGGGTCGGATGCTGCTTCCCCCTCCATTCTATCTAATTATCTTTCTCCCTCATTCTATCTCTTTCATCTGTCTGTCTCTTTCTCTCTGTCTGTCTATCTCTGTCTCACAGGTACACATAAATACAAGTATACATAGTGTAAATTACCTAGGATAACCCAAAAAATCCAGACAAAATGCTATACTCTGCTTGAAGATGTGAGTAAACGTGATGATGACACAGTCTTGTGGCTCTCTCTGAGACAGAGCTAGACGGATAGTCAGGGAGCTTGGAAGACAGACAAATGTTTGTTTGTCGTCGTCTCCTCCTCCTCCTCCTCCTCCTTCTCCTCCTCCTTCTCCTCCTTCTCCTCCTTCTCCTCCTTCTCCTCCTTCTCCTCCACCTCCTCCTTCTCCTCCTTACTCCTCCTCTCTCCTCCCTCTCCTCCTCACTCCTCCTCCTGCATCCTCCTCCTCCTCCTCTCCTTCTCCTTCTCCTCCTCCCCCTCCTCCTCCTCCTCCTCCTCCCTCCTCCTCCTCCCTCCTCCTCCTCCTCCTCCTCTTCCTCTTCCTCTTCCTCTTTTTCCTCCTCCTCTCTCCTCCCCCTCCTGCTCTAGATAACAGCTGCCCCCCTCGTTTACACTCATCAAAGGTCAGCTCTTATCAGATGTTATCTCCCCTTATCTGTCACTGTCATGGGGTGGACTGTTTCATGCCTCAAGGGAACATACTATTACATATTATTATATTAGGTATTATTTTCCTTCTTCCTATTCTTCCTCCCCCCCTTCTTCTTCTTTCCCTTCTTCCTCCTCCTCTTCTTCTTCTTCCCCTCCTCCTCTTCTTCCTCCTCCTCTTCTTCCCCCTTTCCCCTCCTCCTCCTCCTCCTCCTCCTCCCCTCTCCTCCTTTCCCTTTCCCCCTCCTCCTCTTCTCTTCCCTCCTCTTCTTCTTCCTCCTCCTCTCTTCTCTTCCTCCTCCTCTCTTCCTCCTCCTCTTCTTCTTCCTCCTCCTCCTCTTCTTCCTCTCTCTTCTTCCTTCTTCCTCCTCCTCTTCTTCTTCTCCTCTTCTTCTTCTCTTCTCCTCTTCTTCTTCCTCCTCTTCTATTCTTCTCCTCTTCTTCTTCTTCTTCTCCTCCTCTTCTTCTCTCCTCCTCTTCTTCTTCCTCCTCTTCTTTCTTCTTCCTCCTCTCTTCTTCTTCTTCCTCTCTATCTTCTTCTTCCTCCTCTCTCTTCTTCTCTTCTTCCTTCCTCCTCTTCTTCTTCCCTCCTCTTCTTCTCTCCCTTCTTCTCCTCCTCTTCTTCCTCCTCTTCTTCTTCCTCCTCTTCTCTCCTCTTCTTCCTTCTTCCTCCTCTTCTTCTTCTTCTTCCTCCTCCTCTTCTTCTTCCTCCTCTTCTTCTTCTTCTTCCTCTTCTTCTTCTTCCACTCCTCTTCTTCTTCCTTCTTCTTCCTCTCTTCTTCTTCCTCCTCTTCTTCCTTCTTCTTCTTCCTCTTCTTCCTCCTCCTCTCTTCTTCCTCCCTCTTCTCCTCCTCTTCTTCTTCTTCCCTCCTCTCTTCTTCTTCCTCCTCTTCTCTTCTTCACCTCCTTCTTCTTCCTCCTCTTCTTCTCTTCCCTCTTCTTCTCCTCTTCTTCTTCCTCCTCTTCTTCTTCCTCCTCTTCTTCTTCTTCACCCTCCTTCTTCTTCTTCTCACCTCCTCTTCTTCTCTTCACCTCCTTCTTCTTCTTCTTCACTCTCTTCTTCTTCTTCTTCTTCACCTCCTCCTTCTTCTTCTTTCACCTCCTTCTTCTTCTTCTTCTTCACCTCCTTCTTCTTCTTCTTCACCTCCTTCTTCTTCTTCTTCTTCACCTTCCTTCTTCTTCTTCTTCTTCACCTCCTTCTTTCTTCTTCTCTTCTTCACTCTCCTCTCTTCTTCTTCTTCACCTCCTTCTTCTTCTTCTTCTTCACCTCCTTCTTCTTCTTCTTCTTCACCTCCTTCTTCTTCTTCTTCACCTCCTTCTTCTCTTCTTTTCACCTCCTTCTTCTTCTTCTTTCACCTCCTTCTTCTTCACCTCCTTCTTCTTCTTCACCTCCTTCTTCTTCACCTCCTTCTTCTTCTTCACTCCTCTTCCTCTTCCTCTTCTTCCTCCTCCTTCTCCTCCATTGCTTTTGGTTTCAAACTCCTCGAAATCATGAAATTGATCTTCAATGACACTTCCATCTGTGTTAGAGCATCACTTGGGAAGAGAAGAGTCCCAGATTTGCTGGGGAGTCACATATTTCTTACCGCTAGACATGCTGAAAAAGGACGACTGAAATGGTATTCCCACAATGCAACACTGGCTCCCCGATTTTTTTTATATGGTGCACACTGACCACGGAGACCCATTCTCTCACATGTGGGCCTACCAGCTTTCTCCTGCTTGATTTGAAGCCGCTAGAATTTATGCGTATAGATACGTCAAACACGGTATCTCCTATGATGTATATATACGACCGCGACAGTCAAAGGGTTAAGTATGCATGCTGGTCAGAAAGCCTGCCGTAAGTCCAAGTCATTGGTAAATGAGTACGCCACTAAGTGAGGAGAGGCTGTACTAAAGTTAAAAAGAGAAACTTGTCATTTTTCTTTTTTGGGCCACCCTGCCTTGGTGGGATGCAGCCAGTTTGTTGACAGAAGAATTTTGTATGTGCTTTGTACATTTAACATGTGTGATTGGTGTGGTTTAAAAGTACATTAAAGATTATTGTGTAGAATTAAGTGTTGATAGTCTGCTGAGTTCAGTACAGCTGTCATGTTCCTGGAATGCATCTGCTGTATGAACCAATGGACAGCTATACTTGCACTTGTTTTCACAGTACCATATATGTAGTAATGTATTAGTAAATATTATATAGATAGCTCATTTTCTTAACCCTTTCAGGGTTTCGGATGTACCAGTACGGCTTAGGCACCAGGGTTTTGGACGTACTAGTACGCCTAAATTCTAGTGCCCTCAAATCTAGTGAGAGAAAGCTGGTAGGCCTACATGTGAAAGAATGGGTCTATGTGGTCAGTGTGTGCAGTATAAAAAAAAAATCCTGCAGCACACAGTGTATAATGAGAAAAAAAAACTTTGACAGTGTTTTTGGTTTAAAACAGCGACTTTGCACTGTATTTTCGTATGGTATTTATGATGGTATTCTAGTTTTCCTGGTCTCATTTTATAGAATGGAAGACATATTACAGAAATTGAGACAATTTTGATTGGTTTTACAATGGAAAGTACCTTGAAATTGAGCTCAAAGTAGCAGAAATCTTCGATTTTTGCCAAAGTTCATAAGTAAACAGATCATGCTGCGTGTCCAATACATGTCAACTGGTGAGTCTAACATTCTTTCACAAGTGCGCTGATATTATTTATACCATTTGTACACTAATGCAGTAGTCTGCATAACAGTAAATCTTCTATTTTTTGTGAGAATAAAAATTCAAAGTGGAAAGCAAAAGAATGTAAGAGGGGCATGGGGACGTGACTAATGAACAGAGGAAATGCTATTTTAGTGCCAGGAATGTCTTGTTTATTCTGGACCCTATTTGGAAATTGGCATCTTTTGAAATTTGTGTGAAACTGGCAAAATTGCTAAATTCTGACCACTTTATTGGATAGTTGAAATCAGTAAATGGGTGGTTTCTTGTACTCATTCGTTAGAAAAAATGGAGTTCTAGCGAAAGTTATGATTTTCGTCAACTAGTACACCGGAATTGGTCGAAAAATAGGGCTCCAAGTGGGCAAAATCACTGATGCGTAAACATCGTCGAGACCGCTAACTTTGCAAGAGCATAATTCCGTAAGTTTTCCATCAAATTTCATACTTTTGGTGTCATTATGATCGAGAAAAGATTCTCTATCTTTTCATAATTTTTTTTTTTTTTTTTTTTTTTTTTTTTTTTTTTTTGGCAACCGTGAGAACATGTCTCGGAGAGGGCCTGGCGACCCTGAAAGGGTTAAGGATATTGAGTTACTTCACTCAACCTAATGTGAGAATAATAAAGGATTGCAATAATCATGTACTTTTTATATAGTTTAATTAAACCTTATTATGGCTAATGATTGCATCTTGCATTTTCAGATAAAAACTACATCACCAGAGAAGTATCGGGTACGTCCCTCTGTGGGTGTTTTAGAGGCTGGTACACAGCTTGAAATTGGTGTAACTGTGAGTGAGCAGCTGACTCCTGCAGCACTGGTGCGTGATAAGTTCCTGGTGATGGGTACTTCAGCATCCTCCAGTGAACTCAGCTCTCATGAAGTCTCTCAGTTATTTAAGGTTTGCATAATATTTTCTTGGCTTGTTTGAGGCTAAAATGAGATATAATTACCTTGTCTTGATGGAAAAAATTAAACCACTCATAAGAGTTTTAGCATTACTTTTTTAATTACAGTGGACCCCCGGATTACGTAGTCGTCAGATTTCGTAATATTTGAAATAAGTAATGTTTTTTCGTCAGAATACTGGCTCAGTGATAGCCATTGAATTTGGTAATAGTCATTCATCCTGAACATGTCCATGCACTGACACCCCATTTACAGCCAGTGTGCCATTGTTTATCAGCCAGTGAGAACGATCCCACGTGTTCATACGATACCTTTTGTATTATTCCATTCTTTTTAGCGATTGCAACTGCTAAATAAGCCACCATGGGCCAAAAGAAAGCTAGTGCCAGACCTTTGGTAAAGAAGGCAATAAACATGATAGAATTCAAGAAAGAACACAGCAGCCAGGGTACTTCCCCACACACATGATTTGATTTGAGTGGGATTTGCACATGAGTGAATAGAATTATCAAAGCTTATTGCTTGGGTAGCATTGAAAATTGGGTTGGACAAATATGTATTTGTTAGTAGGATTGTTTGTGAAGCACCTGCCTAGTATGGGCCAACAGGTCTGCTGCAGAGCTTATGTACACCAGCTGAGGAAATTGCTTCAGAGGATGAGAAAGAGTGAGGGAAGAAGGTTCCTTCTTCGAAGATTAAGGACATTTGTGCAAAGTGGAGTGAGGTGCAAACATTTATGGAGGAACATCACCCTAACCCTTTCCCCTCCTCCCATCTTCCATACACCAACAAGTCTTCAGTAAAGGTAAGTGTGATATTATTGTTTTATACTCGATTTCTCATTCTTTTCTGTATGTAAATCTATATTTAATCTATAAAAAAATAATTTTGTTAATACTTTTGGGTGTCTGGAACAGATTAACTGGATTTACATTATTTCTTATGGGGAAAATATATTCAGAAATCATCAGATTCAGGATTAGTCACTCTCTCCGGAACGGATTAATTACGAAAACCGGGGATCCACTGTAGATTAAATGACAGTAAACCCTTCAACCTAATATACAGTGGACCCCTGTCTTACGAACACATCGCGTTATGTTAACCCTTTGACTGTCGAAAGGCCCAATCCTGAAGTGTCTTCTGGTGTCGCAAAATATTTGAAAAAAAAAAATTATTTTTCTTATGAAAATGTTAAGATTATTTTTCTGATTGTTATAGTCCCCCCCAAAAATTTTTCCCATCAGTACTTACCCAGATATAGAGGCATGAAGTTTGCAGAAAATGAGCCGCGTATGGCAACAGCGGCGACTGCTGCTCACCCGGTAAACTTTAGTTTACTTGTATTTGAAGGTTTGTTGTTTTTTTCACTATTTTATTTTTTCACATAACTTATGTAGCCTATGAGACCAAAGTAAGGTGCAATGTACATATATACACTTGTTGTATACAACACAATAAGCACACAAACATAATTATCAATATATTGTTTACAAAACTTGTTTACAGAAACAAACAATACAAAAAATTGTTTATTACTATTTTTCTATAATATACAGTGGACCCCCGCATAACGATTACCTCCGAATGCGACCAATTATGTAAGTGTATTTATGTAAGTGCATTTGTACGTGTATGTTTGGGGGTTTGAAATGGACTAATCTACTTCACAATATTCCTTATGGGAATAAATTCGGTCAGTACTGGCACCTGAACATACTTATGGAGTGAAAAAATATCGTTAACCGGGGGTCCACTGTATATACCAATATACAGTCACTGAACATATTCCTAGAAGTTCTGCAGCTTGTGGAACTCTGTGAAACATGGTGTCATACACAGTGGTGTTTTACACTCTTACACATAAAACATGGTGTCATACACAGTGGTGTTTTACACTCTCACACATAAAACATGGTGTCATACACAATGGTGTTTTACACTCCTCACTCATAAAACATGGTGTCATACACAATGGTGTTTTACAATCCTCACACATAAAACATGGTGTCATACACAGTGGTGTTTTACATTCTCACACATAAAACATGGTGTCATACACAGTGGTGTTTTACACTCCTCACACATAAAACATGGTGTCATACACAGTGGTGTTTTACACTCCTCACACATAAAACATGGTGTCATACACAATGGTGTTTTACACTCTCACACATAAAACATGGTGTCATACACAGTGGTGTTTTACACTCTCACACATAAAACATGGTGTCATACACAGTGGTGTTTTACACTCCTCACACATAAAACATGGTGTCATACACAGTGGTGTTTTACACTCCTCACACATAAAACATGGTGTCATACACAAGGGTTTGTTTTACACTCTCACACATAAAACATGGTGTCATACACAGTGGTGTTTTACACTCTCACACATAAAACATGGTGTCATACACAGTGGTGTTTTACACTCTCACACATAAAACATGGTGTCATACACAGTGGTGTTTTACACTCCTCACACATAAAACATGGTGTCATACACAATGGTGTTTTACACTCGTCACTCATAAAACATGGTGTCATACACAATGGTGTTTTACACTCCTCACACATAAAATCAGTGTGTGCATTTTTGTGGAAGTGTTTTTTTATGTGCAAAGACAAAACACCTCGTCTGGGCAGTTTTCTTCCAAGTATTAGCAGGCAGTTGTGTTATGTAGTTATCCTAGGTAAATGGTTGTGTGTCATCATTCCTTCCTTCCTAATTTCCTTCATTCCTTTCCTACCTGGAGGCTACCTGGAGGGCATTCCACCTCTCTTCCTACATTCCTTCAGCTGTCCTTCCTTACTTTTTTCCTTACTTTCATCTAGTCCTTCCTTCATTCCTGCCTTCCCTTCTTGCTTCTGGTTTCTATAATATATATATACACATATATAGTCACTAGATACTTTCATAAAACTGCTATTATCACCCTTCAGCAAGCTTGTCTTGGGTGCGAGTGTGTGGCTTATAATTGTTTTGAGTCTGGAGTCCGCAGCTGTCAAAATGACATATTGTCTCATTACTTACTCCCCCTCCCGCCTGTCAAAACAATGGGGTTGGATGCTGCTTCCCCCTCCATTCTATCTAATTATCTTTCTCCCTCATTCTATCTCTTTCAATCTGTCTCACTCTTTCTCTCTGTCTGTCTATCTCTGTCTCACAGGTACACATAAATACAAGTATACATAGTGTAAATTACCTAGGATAACCCAAAAAATCCAGACAAAGTGCTATACTCTGCTTGAAGATGTGAGTAAACGTGATGATGACACAGTGGTGGCCCGGTGGCCTGGTGGCTAAAGCTCCCGCTTCACACACGGAGGGCCCGGGTTCGATTCCCGGCGGGTGGAAACATTTCGACACGTTTCCTTACACCTGTTGTCCTGTTCACCTAGCAGCAAATAGGTACCTGGGTGTTAGTCGACTGGTGTGGGTCGCATCCTGGGGGACAAGATTAAGGACCCCAATGGAAATAAGTTAGACAGTCCTCGATGACGCACTGACTTTCTTGGGTTATCCTGGGTGGCTAACCCTCCGGGGTTAAAAATCCGAACGAAATCTTATCTTATCTTATCTTATCTTGTGGCTCTCTCTGAGACAGAGAGCTAGAAGGATAGACAGGGAGCTTGGCAGACAGAGAAATAGACAGACAAATATTTGTTTGTTGTTGTCTCCTCCTCCTCCTCCTCCTCCTCGTCCTCGTCCTCGTCCTCGTCCTCGTCCTCGTCCTCGTCCTCGTCCTCGTCTTGTGTGGGAGTGTGTGGCTTATAATTGTTTTGAGTCAGAAGTCGGCAGCTGTCAGAGTGACATATTGTCTCATTACTCACTCCCCCTCCTGCCTGTCAAAACAATGGGGTCAGATGCTGCTTCCCCTCCTCCATTCTATCTAATTATCTTTCTCCCTCATTCTATATCTTTCAATCTGTCTCTCTTTCTATCTGTCTGCCTATCTCTGTCTCACAGGTACACATAAATACAAGTATACATGGTGTAAATTACCTAGGATAACCCAAGAAATCCAGACAAAGTGCTATACTCTGCTTGAAGATGTGAGTAAACGTGATGACACAGTCTTGTGGCTCTCTGAGACAAAGAGCTAGATGGACAGACAGGGAGCTTGGACAGACAGACAAATAGACAGACAGAATGTTTGTGTACCAGCAAAAACAAAGGGAGGGCGATGGTCATGTAATATTTCCTTATCAGCTCTACCCTCGTTTACGCTCATCAAAGTCAGCTCTTATCAGATGTTATCTCCCCTTATCTTGTCACTGTCATGGGGTGGACTTTTTTTTTTCTTGCTTCAAGGAACAATATTATTACATCTTCTTCTTCCTCCTCCTCCTCTTCTCCTCCTCCTCCTCCTCTTCCTTCCCCCTCCTCCTCCTCCTCCCTCCTCCTCCTCCTCCTCTTCCTCTCCTCCTCCTCCTCCATTGCTTTTGGTCTCAAACTCCTCCAAATCATGAAATTGATCTTCACTGACACTTCCATCTGTGTTAGAGCATCACTTGGGAAGAGAAGAGTCCCAGATTTGCTGGGGAATCACATATTTCTTACCGCTAGACATGCTGAAAAAGGACAACTGAAATGGCATTCCCACAATGCACCACTGGCTCCCCGATTTTTTTTATATGGTGCACACTGACCATGGAGACCCATTCTCTCACATGTGGGCCTACCAGCTTTCTCCTGCTTGATTTGAAGCTGCTAGAATTTATGCGTATAAATACGTCAGAAACATTGGCTCGTAAGACGTCGGAAACAGTCAAAGGGTTAACCCTTTGAGGGTCGACAGGCCCTCTCCGAAACTCGTTCTCAGGGTCGGCCAAATTTAAAAAAAAAAAATTATTTTCTTGTATGAAAAGATAGAGAATCTTTTCTCGATCATAAGGACACCAAAAGTTTGAAATTTGATGGAAAACTTACGGAATTATGCTCTCGCAAAGTTAGTGGTCTCGGCGATGTTTACGCATTGGCGATTT